AGCAAAAATTGTTGTCATTACTCTTAATTTATTGTATGAGACCAAAAGATGGCAAAATAGAAGATGGCTCGTGAGACCAATTAATCAACAGAGAAAACAGCAAGGAGAATGAAAATCTGTTTCAAGAATTGAAATTACATTTTTCAGATATCTTGCAACGGGAGCGGTGCACTTGGACACGGTGCATTTGGACACAGCCAATCACAGTACCGTGTGATTAGAGACATTTGTAGGGTCTCTTGGAACAGCGACTGTGATTGGACTGTGTCCAATTGCCCCGTGTCCAACTGATATACACCCTCTTGCAACAGGGAATTCAATAGCAAGTATTGCATTTTCTTTTCGAGTTGGGCAGTCAACTGTTAGACAGTTAATGAAAGAAGTGTGTCTAGTTATTGTTAATACATTACAGCCTCTATATTTAGCATGTCCAACTGAAGAACAGTGGAAGAATATTGCTGATGGATCATTATACGAGTACATAATGGAAACGCAGCATCTGCGATAAAAAATCCAGGCATAAAAATATTACTTCCGGGAAGATAAGCGCGTGATGTGGGCAAATTAAGTCCATTATTTTTTAAATATTTTCCAACAGTTGACGATTCAAAAATGCCTCTGTCACTATTTCCTCCATAGGCTCCTATATCAACTAAACTAAATCTATATAAATGATCAGATATTGCCATAAGAACAATGCTGAATTGTTTCTTATAATTAAAATACAAGCTTCCAGAATTAGGAGGATATCGCAAAACTATGTATTTCCCGTCAATAGCTCCAAAGCAGTTAGGCATATTCCATGGTTCCAGTATTCATTAGCAATATTCTTCCACTGTTCTTCAGTCGGACATGTTAAATATAGAGGCTGTAATGTATTAACAATAACTAGACACATTTCTTTCATTAACTGTCTAACAGTTGACTACCCAAAAGAATAGAAAATGCAATACTTGCTACTGAATTCCCTGTTGCAAGATATCTGAAAAATGTATCACAATTTTTGCTATATAGTTTATAATTTCGTGAAACATTTTTTTCTAACAATGATTTCTAAACATAACTAAAAATTTAAGAAGTACTTACATTAAACAATTTTTTTTATTAATAAACTATATTTACTTTAATATTATTATTAACCTGTGTTCCGGAGACAGAGCTTTCTTAGTTTTTTTTTACTAAATAAGGTTTTAGCATGGTTGATAACTTGTTAAAATGTTGAACATTCATCCTGGCATATTTGACAAACATGTCTTCACCAGTTTTAGAAGAAGTTATAACGCAACGTTTATAATTTTGTACAGATACATTTAACAGTTTAATAAAATTAATATATGCTCAGTATAGACATTTCTAATTATGGCTGTAAAGATAAATTATTATTTTTTCTTTACTTATTGTTCAATAATCTGATTTAATTATCTTTGTCACAGAACCTCTATGTTCTTTCGTAACGTAACGTAATGTAAAATTTTCGTGCGTTGCCGTACATTCAGCTGGGTGTATATCAGTTGGACACGGGGCAATTGGACACAGTCCAATCACAAGTCGCTGTTCCAAGGGACTCTACAAATGTCTCTAATCACACGGTGCTGTGATTGGCTGTGTCCAAATGCACCGTGTCCAAGTGCACCGCTCCCCATTCAGCTTATGTCTCACGTAACGTAAAGTTGTCACGTAAGGGTACGTTCAGATTTCCTACCCGGGTGCACTCTAATACTAGAAGTGCTATAGTATATGTAACATATACTATAGTGTTTCTAGTAATAGAGTGCATCCGGGTAGGGAATCTGAACGCACCCTAAGGTGGCGTAAGGAGCTACGGCAATGTTCGTGCGCTGGCCCTTATATTCAATATACATTAAGCCCATTCTACAATTGCGTGAACGTGGTTGTAAGTAGTTGTAAGTGATTACGACAACCAATTAGAATAAAGCAATCAGTGAATAAAACATTCGGATTGGTTGACTCTTACGTTCACGACTACGCTTACGCAATTGTAGAATGGGCTTTACGTTCTTACAATACAACATCTTTCACAATGCCATATCGCACACAGTCTTTAAGAAAAGAAACTTCTGCCCGCAACGCAGGGCTGCCACTCAAAGAATAAGAAAAGTAGAATAATCAGTACACAGTGAGAACTAGATTCGACCAATGAACGAACGGATATAACAATTTCCTACGCTTATTAAAATTGTTAATATATTAAAATTATTTTTTATGACAAAGCGCACAGTCAAGCTATATAAAAGAAAAAGAAAAAAAAAATACAACAAACAGTCTACTTATTTCGGAACAAATTCATTTAAATATGTTGGTCGTTTATGAAGTCTTTCGGATCTGCGGAGTAGTAGTTGTTGATTTCTCCTTGGGTCATTCTCCACAACTGGAGCTTAGATATTTTGTGTTGATAGAATAGGGTCAGCTTCCGGAACCTGCGTCTGTTGAGTCTGTAGTTGTGGTCTGGTTGACGATCCAATGTTTCATTTGGTAATGGGTACCAATGGGTACCTGGTTATTGGCCTAAATTGGACTGCTTTTCTTTCGCGGTTTTTCTTAGGAACTTTACTTGGTAGTTGATTAATACGTTTTTTAATATGATATTCCTCGTCCAAATGTACCATATAATGCAGACGGTTCAGCTTCTTCGTGATTGTGTCGAGCTTTCATCGTTGAACTCTAGCGTATGCTCGGGATTGCACTCTGTTTCCTACGCTTGTTTCGTATCAAGATTTTGAATGGGATTTTGTCTTGTGTATGGAGAAATTAATAAATTTAACTTGGTTCGAATTTGTTTAGGTATAATTCTGAAGAGCTTTTTTCACTTTGTTGTGTGGCTCGAAAACGATATAGAATATTTTCCACCTTCGAAGTTATTGTATCTAGTTCGTCTTCCATAGCTTTTAATTTATTTTTAAGGATCTGAACGTACCTTTCCGCAAGGCCGTTTGTATTTGGGTGTCCTGGAGCAATGAATTTTTTAAAAATACCGTTTGTTTGACAAAAGTGACTGAATTCCTCTCTCTTGAATATCGTGGCATTGTCAGATACTGAGATTTCCGGTGATCTATGAGAACTGAAGATATTTTCTAGAAAACGAATAATTAAAGCTAAAGTTTGATCTCCTTTAGTAATTCTGACCTCCGGCCATTTAGATTTAGCATAATAGCATAGATTTAGCACAAGAATAAAGAATTGATGTTCTTAAAAAAATCCTACGTAATCTATATGGACACGTTGAAAATTAGTTTCAGGATCTTCCCAATGATAAAGTGCAACCTTTTTGGATTCGTTCTGTACTTTTGCACGTTCTGGACATAACCGTACCAGATTTTCGATATCTTTATCGATGTTACGCCAATAACAATATCGTCTGGCCAAATTTTTCATTTTACATATACCTAGATGAGTATAGTGTAATTAATTTAAAATTGCAAAACGTAAAGATGTAGGTATGAAGACACGTTGGCTTCTGAAGATAATACCTTGTGCACACTGTAGATTAAATCATAATTCTTCCTAGATACAAGTTTTTCTTTTAGTTTTGACATTTCTTCATTCTTACTTGTTTTTTCAGCTATGATTTTACTAATAATGGAAACAGTTGAAATTTAGTTGATTATTTGATCGTTGATTTTTTTATCTTCATCTTGAATTATTGGAATATTTTCTACTGGGGCGCGTGATAAATAATCGATAATTTTTATACCTGCGTAAAATTTCCTTGTCATCTGATTTAAAAAACGATTTTTTTATAAATATCAATTATCACTGTATTGATTCCATAGAAGTCTCTAAGGTTATTAATATCATATAAGATTTTATTATTTTCGAGAGTTTCTGAATCAACTACTATTATTGTTTTTTGCTTTTAGCAAATTCAAAATGCAAACCTTTTCGACGTGACTCACCTTGTTACAAAACTTTACGCTATTATAATTGACACGACAATCTTGAATTTTATGATTATTATGTCCGCATCGGATACATACGTTTTCTAAACCTAAGGCACAGTAATCAATTCTAGTTTTTGAACGCGACCGACTGTTCGAATGACTTTTGTTTCAACCCGATTATCTGAACGACTATTTGAATGTTTGCTTACTTTACCCTTAAATTTTGAAATCCAATTAACATTTTCAATTAAACTTTATTTTTTTGAAGTTGAAGTTACTGATATTTTGTGGTTATCCAATTTTGATGCCTCCAGAGCAAGCGCTGTATCCACTGCTTTTTTGAAAATCAAATCGGTTGTCTGTAAAAGTTTCTCTTGGATCGTTAAAACTCATAATTCTCGGATAAATTGTGCATGTAAGAAAATTCCTGCCACGGAACATCCGCATTCATATTTGAATTCACAAGTAACGATAAATTTCCTTAACTTGGCAACGTACTTTGCTATATTTTCTTCTGGCTTTTGTGAACATGATAGAAAACGATGCTATTGTACTACCACATTCAGGTTGGGATACATATGTTTCTAGGAGTTCTATTAGCTGTTCATATGCTTTCTTTGTTGGTAAATTTGGAGCAGTTAGCGAAGTTAGCAGCTCATAATATTTCAATCCAATGCAATTCAGTAAGATCTTGGCACAAATGTCTTTGTCGTCGAATACATTCTTCAGTTCGAAGTAATTTTCCAGTTGCTATTTATAATTTGAAAAGTCTTCTTTCTCTGGATCGAAACTTCCAAAATTAGATACGAGGTTGAGGTTCGGATTTATTAGAAGTTGGATTTATTGGAACTGTCTGTTGCGTTTGTACGGTTTGACGTTCGAGACAAGCTGTCGAAACCTTCATGAGCTCCTAAGACTGCTTTGCATCCATTGTATTAACCGAGTGAATAGTTCAAGAGAATAACGTCTGGAATGTATCTATACCGGTCTGATATGTGGCATCGGATCTTGTCGATGTGTATAGAAATGTTTTATTCACTAAGAATTTTTGTTTACCTCGCCCAATTTTGTTATAAATCGACCCGGATGAAAGGAAAATAATCCAAGTCAAAGGACTCTGATACATCCTTATATCCAATATATATTACGTTCTTACAGTACATCTTTCACAATGCCATATCACATACAGTCTTTAAGAAAGGAAACTTCTGCCCGTAATGCAGAGTTGCCACTCTAGAATAATCAATACATGAGAACTAGATTTGACCAATAGAACGAATAGATATAACACATAATCATGCTGTTGTGCGTATGCATCTACTATGTCATGTATAACCAACTCTGCTTTACCAAAATAATGCTCTTATTTATAACGAGTTAAACATAGGACAATTAAATTTTGGATTAGTTGGTAAGAACTCAAGTATTTTATTGAGCGGTACAATGACGTATAAAAAAAAAAGAATTTGACAAACTTGGTAGAAAACAATAAAGATACTTCTTAAATAAGAGATACTTCTGGGAATAATTAGAAAATAATTCGGGAATAAGAGAATCGACAAAAAAGAGTCAGTAGGATTTCTTTTAAAGCTTAATAGGAACTATCTAATTCGGATCAGTTGTATCTCTTTTTCCGCGTTTTTACGCTTAACTACACTAATAAAATGTCTAACTTCTGGTGCACTACTCGGTTTGCTTCATTTCAATGGATTTTGTCTTTCTAAAACGTAATTCGTCGCTTCCTCATCGATTTATTCGTGAATTTTACTATAAATCTTGCGAGAGTTCTTTTTGTCGCAGTCGATATTCCGTCGGTGTCAGCATACCTCTAAAAAATAGTTACCTTTGCAGTTATTCGTAATAAATAATATGAATCATATAATATATATATATATATATATATATATATATATATATATATATACCTTCTGTATAAAAAGTACCGGGAAATTGTCATTTAAATGAACCGCGGAAGAGGTAGCGGTAAAAAGTTTTTTTTTTTAGATTGGCACTACCTTCCTTCATTACCAACCGGAGCTTGAGCTCGATCAGTCAACTAGTTTGTTTATGGCAGCTGTCCAAACAAGTCTACCTCAGTGTTGCTCTGCGAATTTTACCATGGAAAAAATAGTCGAACAAAGAGTGTGCCTCAAATTTTGTGTTGCAAACGAAATTTCGTGTGCCGACGCACTGATATCCGGCGAAAAAGGCCCGAATTGTGGCGAGACAATTCGTGGATTTTACACGATGACAATGCGCCAGCGCACAGAGCCACGATTGTGGCCGATTACAAGGCCAAAAACTCGGTCAATTCTGTCGACCATCCACCGTATTCGCCTGA